ATTTAATGTATACCTGTATGCAACGATTAATCATTATTAATAAAACAAAATTTAGTGCCTAGTTCGGTTATACATGTTTTGTAAGACCAAAATATTTACGATTTTTGTTAAAATTTGATACTGAAATTCTTAAAAAAAATTAATAAATAAAAAATAAAATATTACATTAAACTCAACTTTTTCTCGTTGATTACTAAATACTACTTATAATAAACCCCCTGTTCAATTTTTAAATGTTTAGCATGTTTTCGATACTTAATAACAAAAATTGTATTTTAAATTTGGCGAGCTGGCCCTGGGCTACACTATATTTAAGTCAGGAACAACCATACTTTCCTTAGCTACGTGTCTTCTACCTTATAAACTATTTTCTTTAAATATTAAAATATAGCTTTAACAACAGCTTAACAATTATTTGTCAGATTAACCCCATGCCAAAATGCTTAAGTACAGCAGTTGAGTTTATCGACCGTGACCATTTTTACTTGATCTATAGCTGAAGTAAGCTTGTTAGTACTTTTGCTTAGTTTTCAATTTCTAAAATGACCCTATAATTTGAGTATGATCCCCGTTACGAAATCAATAAAATTTTCACTATTGTTTTAATCTCATTAAAATAACATATTAATTTATAAATTGTTATTAACTTTGAAGGCATTTAAAGATATAGAACGCACGGAAAACTAATACAGTTGCCGCCGCCACACACGGCGGGGCTGCAATACCCCGAACGGTACGGCGATGCAACGGCGTCGTTCCACATGCACTCCTGGTACCCAAAACCTTTATGCTCGTAATAAAAATCAATTTTTCCTTTTTCGTTCCTTTTTCGTATCCTTCAAACAAAATACGACTGGAAAAAGCTGATGACAATATGAACATATTGACAATTTTAAATTCTCGTATCAAGTATATCAATAACCGTATTACAAATAATAAGTCGTACTTATAATTAAAAATAAAAATACATACATCTTCGCTTTAGGGTTTGATTTTTCAACTTAAAAAAAAAAAAATAGTGATACATAATTTTTAAATTTAATAAAATCTATAAACGATGAGAAATGTATTTAAAAATTTCAAAATACAAGTAAAAAAGACTGATATACTCTGCACGATGGGTGGACTACTGTTGTAAGTGAGAAGCTAGAAAGGTAGGATATAGAGGGGAATTTAATGTATACCTGTATGCAACGATTAATCATTATTAATAAAACAAAATTTAGTGCCTAGTTCGGTTATACATGTTTTGTAAGACCATAATATTTACGATTTTTGTTAAAATTTGATACTGAAATTCTTAAAAAAAATTAATAAATAAAAAATAAAATATTACATTAAACTCAACTTTTTCTTGTTAACCACTGATTATTACTTATAGTGAACCCCCTGTTCAATTTTTAAATGTTTAGCATGTTTTCGATACTTAATAACAAAAATTTTTAGACGTCAAAATATTTTAAAAAAATTTAGCTATTTTTGAGCTAGTTTAATATTGCCAATTTTTTACTTCATTTTTAATTAATAGGTACACTATGGATACAATTTTTAAACGAAACAGAAATGCTTGAAAATATAATATAAATAGTTCATCAAATGTTGTATATAGTGGTCTAAAAAAACAAAATTGCTGAGTTTAATGTAGTATTATATTTTTTTAATTTTAATATCAAATTTTAATGAAAATCGTAAATATTACGGCTTATCCAAACATATAACCGACCTTTGTTTTTCATTAGTAATGGTTTGTCGTTGCGCACGGATATTAGTTAAATAATTTAATGTATCCTATCTAGCTAACATCCTACCTACAAGAGTGGTACAACTGTCCTCAGTGTCAGCGCCTTTTTACGCACTACTACGTTTTCTACTGAAAATATTACAGTAATCAAGAAATACTAGGAGACTTTTTTGGTGTATTGTGAATCTAGTTTACAGCATTGTAGGTTTTGATCGTTTTGATTTCGGTCCTGCGCCTTTCCTACTCACTCGACTAGTACAATGTCGGCAATACTCCGCAATACAGTAAAGCTACAGAACGCACGGAAAACTAATACAGTTGCCGCCTCCACACACGGCGGGGCTGCAATACCCCGAACGGTACGGCGGCGCAACGGCGTCGTTCCACATGCACTCCTGGTACCCAAAACCTTTTTGCTCGTAATAAAAATCAATTTTACCTTTATCGTTCCTTTTTCGTATCCTTCAAATGAAATACGACTGGAAAAAGCTGATGACAATATGAACATATTGACAATTTTAAATTCTCGTATCAAGTATATCAATACATACATACATCTTCGCTTTCGGGTTTAATTTTTCAACTTAAAAAAAAAAATGGTGATACATAATTTTTAAATTTAATAAAATCTATATACGATGAGAAATGTATTTAAAAAATTCAAAATACAAGTAAAAAAGACTGATATACTCTGCACGATGGGTGGACTACTGTTGTAAGTGAGAAGCTAGAAAGGTAGGATATAGAGGGGAATTTAATGTATACCTGTATGCAACGATTAATCATTGTTAACAAAACAAAATTTAGTGCCTAGTTCGGTTATACATGTTTTGTAAGACCATAATATTTACGATTTTTGTTAAAATTTGATACTAAAATTCTTAAAAAAAATTAATAAATAAAAAATAAAATATTACATTAAACTCAACTTTTTCTCGTTGATTACTAAATACTACTTATAATAAACCCCCTGTTCAATTTTTAAATGTTTAGCATGTTTTCGATACTTAATAAAAATAATTATATTTTAAATTTGGTGGGCCGGTCCCCGTTACGAAATCAATAAAGTTTTCACTATTGTTTTTATCTCATCAAAATAACATATTAATTTATAAATTGTTATTAACTTTGAAGGCATTTAAAGATACAGAAAGCACAGAAAACAATTTTAGCTGCCGCCGCCACACACTGCGGGGCTGCAATATACCGAATGGTAGAGCGGCGTATCGACGTCGTTCCACATGCACTCCTGATACCCAAAACCTTTTTGCTCGTAATAAAAATCAATTTTTCCTTTT